ATCTGGTACATCTTGCTCGAGACCCAGCGCTATAAAATTGACAATTGGCAAATTATTGACAATGTTATTAAACGAAAAACAAAACTGGCACTTACGCTGCATGTGAATTAATTGCCGCGGCATTTTGTAATTTGGAGGATACATACGATCGTAGGCTTGCTGATCGGTGGTAAAAACCTCTGGTGTGGGTATAATGAGGCCAGTACATATTGCCCGCTGCAGATGATGCTCCTGGAAAAGCAGAAGGCAAACGGAATTGATTAGTGAATTATATTCTTATTTATAAAGGGTAAGAGTAGGCCTCTAGACCCATACTATATTGTAACTAGTATCACAATGGACCTGCAAGGTCTAAGTGAGTTAGTCATTGGACCGACTGCCACATCATATTTTAACTATAACCGAAATAAGAAAAGTAAAGTTACGATTGATATCTTTCGTGAAGAATGCAATTTGATTTTATTTGACTAGATTTTTTCCTTAATAAAGTCGTAGAATTTGTCTAACAGAACACAAAATGTGGAAATGAAGAATTTTGAGAAAACACAGCCTCAATACATACATATAGAAAATAATTGTTTTTAAGAGAGGTTAGGTTTTAAATGTTTATATCGTTACCTTAATATAGAAAGGCCCTAACTCATACAGTCGCTGACAATACAAAAAGCCGCAACTAAGTAAATATTTAAAATTCCCTTTTGATTGATTATGATGCATTTCATCGATATATGTATAAGTCCCCACGTCATTTTAAGTAATAAAAAATTTTAGTCAGTTACGGCTTTTTTGCATTTCAGCGACTATATGAGTTAGGGCTTTTCTATATTAAGGTAACGATATACACTTCATGTTCATACCAGTATATAATTTGGTGGGATTTTGTGGACTTCAAATCCTATGATCTTAGGATACTAGTGTTTAGTATCATTTCTGGAATTTCTGGTAGCAAGAGTTCTTCGTTCAATCTAAATAATAGGTTAGGTTATATGGCAGCACTTGGACTAGAAAATTAAAACTGTTTGCTACTGATGCCATTTGTGATTGGGATGAGATAGCATGCCAATAGGAATGGAAAAAAGGGAAAAATATCGAACGATGCCTTTAATGAGATGATCCCACCTCATTGTATTTTACGCAGCTGTTACGTTGAGCCTTACCGCAAGGACTCCAATAGTACAATGGCCAGTTAAGACGCGAACCAGTGACGAAATATGTAAACTTGTAAGCTTTAAGAGACGGTATCCATCTACCCGTGGCCAAAAAGACTTAGCCATCTTGCGTTCCAAGGTTTAATCGCTCTATGTTCCAATGTAAAAAATTACAACTACTAAAAGAATAAACCTAGTTTTTTGCGAGAGTTCAGAAATGCATTTGCGGTTTATGAAAAAAATACATTTTTGGGAGACAAAACATTTTGCGTAGATTTTGTGAGTTGATATCTTCTTTGTTAGTGAATAAACCCACATACCTATAAACAAAATTTACGAGAACTTGGAACTTGCATTTTTTAATACTTCTTAACAAAGGGATTGCATAAAAATAGTAGTTCGGTAACAGTTGCGTCAATAAACGATCGTTTAGCAACCTTCTTTCACAGTTCTACGTTTGCTCATAAAGTAAGTAAAATCGCAATTCAATTCCAAATTCAACTATCAAATCAACATTAAATTAAATACTTTGGGATTCATTGTGTTATTCGTTTAAAATTAATTCCAAAAGGATCACCAAATAAAAGTGTATTCAAACGTGGTAATTTGCGAGTCAAAGTTGTTGCAGGAACGGTCAAACTTTGCATGCAAAAATACATTCAAAAATAGTTTTTAATTTCCGGAAAGCAATAATTGATATTTTATTTAAATTTCACAAAACTATTTCACAAAAGCACTGCATTTGGTTACACAGTACTGTGTGTAAAAATCCAAGTTAAGGGCGTGTCAGACTTGGCAATATTTCCACTTTTTCCAAGCAACTCGCTGTGAAATTGAGAAAGAGAAATTGTATTTCCATGTGTGAACAGCCAGAAAGACCTTTCTGTTGATTTTCGGAAATCAGTTTCAGAAATTAAAGTTGCAAGGTGTGACTGCAACTCAAAGCTCGTGCTGCACTAGCAATCTGTAATTCGCCTTTCGGAAATAAAAAACCTCTTTCGACAGGCACTTTACATGCAGGTGTGACTGATCGTGCAACTGCTTTCTGAAATTTCTCAATTTGACAGCCTTTTCGACATATATTGAAAGCAAGTTGAAATTATTTTTTGAAAGCGATTTGCGCTCTTGCTGCTATAAGGTCCATTCAATAACTTTTCCAGTAACTACTTGCAGCGAGAGCGTACAAGAAAAATAGATAGTAAAATTGAGACGAGAAAATTATCAGAAAAGGTTATTGAAAGCAAAACTAGTAAAAAAAAAACTTGCAACTTACGCTATTTTGACATTTTCCGATGATAAGTTTTGGCGCCCAATTTTCTTTTTGATTGGGAATATTTCCTCTATTGTCATAAACAGGGCACGGATTTTATGGAAATTGCCTATTTTTCTGCTAAAGAGATAGAGTATATTCGATTAAGATTGTCCACGATTTAGCTTTCCCTGTTTCCATATTTTTTATTACCTTTTATGTTGCCTTTGTTCGCCTATTGTACCTTAAAAAAAAGTGATTATTGTGCGAAAAAAGCCCTAATTCCTGATACTATAAAAGTTTCAAACGTTCCATATTTAAATTGGGCGCTACTTGTATCAACTCACGTCGAGCGCACGTTTAGTACATTTAAGGCTGTGCTAAAGCCTGTTCTGTTACACAAAAAAATCAAGTTGATAATGAAGAAAATCGGTGAATAAATAAAGAAGTAAAAAGTGGTCATATAAAAATGCGCAAAGCTTTTTTGCATGAAAAATGAGCAGGAAAGAATGTTACTCATACGCCATGTACACCTGAAAATACATTTCTCGAAAGCTTATCCTTAGAATAAAAAATTAACTCGATTTTCAGAATCAGCGAGCAACTCCATATAGGAATTGGATATGTAGTGGCGTCCGTTGAACATTTTTCCTGAAACCGAGTGTTATTTTTCAGATTTGTCTTTTTTTAGTGCCTTCCTTTGCCCGTTTTGCTATTTCTAGTGCCTTTTCCTGCCTATTTCGCTATTTCATTTTGCCTTATCCAGCCTATTTCGTTGTTTTATTTTGCCCTTTTTATAGGTTTTTAGGTCCTAAAAATCCGTTCCCTGGTCATAAATATCAAAAAATAAATATTAAGTACATAGTTTTAAATTGCTCATCCCTATTTTCATTTCACTAATTCGGTTTCATCAAATTTTCCTCTTCAACACTTTGTTTACATTTGAATTTGAAACATAACCTTATTTTTTATTAACATCTGCAAATTCCTGCTAAAATTTTTACTAACAAGAATTTGCAGCTCTTTCGGGTTGTTACGCTATCGAAATCACTCTCTTGAAAATTTGATGGGCTATTAATGCATTAAAACAAAAAAAACTTGGAAGTATGGATTTCATATTGAATGGACCTCTATTCACACCTTGTATTTTCATTTCCAAATAACGACGAAAATTACTCTTTGGTTATTCACACGGGAAAGTGGACTTTCACTTTCTCAATTTGATAGAAAAGCGCATTCAAAAAGTACTTGTGTTGCCACGTCCGACTGCACCGTTAGTTTAGAGTTTTTAAGCACATTTTCCTTATCGTCTTCGTCCCAAGTATTTTATCAAATACATATTTACATTCCTTCGTTAGCAACGAGTGTTGGTGGACGTGTTTCGGCGCATAATATTAAATACTTTGCTTTTTGGCGCAACGGCACATGTGTATGTGCTTTGTAAAATCACCATTTTGATTTAAGTGGATAAGAAAAAACCTAAAAACTATAGCCTTTTTCAAGGCTGACGCTTTTAAGTACAGACGGTGCTTCGCTTTTGGCGTCACAGCGTACTATTGTGGACAAATCTGTGAAAAATTTTTAATTCACCGGAATTGTGTGGGAGCACCCAAGGTTCAGGTGAGTGATTGTGACTTTAGTGTGGGGTTGCGAAATCTCTTGTGCTTTTGTTTTAACTTTTTTGACTTAATAAAAATCAAGCCTGCCCTCTACGGCAGGAAAAAAACACAAAGCCGCTATGGCGTCCTCACTATCGAGGACGTCATCGGCAGATGACTTCGAAGCTTTCGCGAGCAACAATTTAGTTAGAGGCAAGCGCCTAAAAAAAGAAAAAGAAATTAGAATAGCAAAAATGCTAAAGGCTCATGACATGGCAAGAACTAGTCTTGACATGGGTGTAACCGGTAAGGGAAAAAACGTGGAGGAACCAAGTGAAAATGAAATGAGTATAGATATACAAGAAGGTAACGGGACAACGACGAGTACCGATAGCCCGCTTTTGGCTACGGATAACGGACAGCAAGCAAGTACAGTGACTGCAAAAGATGCTCACTCAAACTCAAATTCAGACATTACTTTGTATCCCCACAATTTTTCCGGCGTTTACATTGTCTTAGTTGACTCATCCCAATGTAACGACATGATAACCGATAGAATCACAAACGGTCTTACACTTTTTAACAAAATTAAAAATTTTAGAATTAAAGATATTGACCTGATTTTTGCTATTGGCAAAAGTCTATATAAGGTTACCTTTAAAAACGCGGCTGCAGCCAACAATTTCGTCCTCAATGATAAAATAAAATCTATTGGTCTCAGAGCTTTTGTACCTAAAACGGCAGTAGAAACATACGGTGTAGTGAGGGGCATTCCGACATGGTGTGAGGAAGCGGAGATCAAGGCCGATGCCATCTCTAGCGTACCTATTACCACAGTCAGGCGCTTCACGCGTAGAAACCAGGATAACGAATCCTTTACTCCCACAACCACTGTCAAAATTGGATTCTCCGGAAAAGAAATACCTGAGTTCATTATACTCAATTATACCAAACTTTACGTGGATTTCTACGTCCCACCCCTAAGGCAGTGCTTAAACTGCGGTAGGCTAGGACATACTCAGTTTTCCTGCAAGTCAAAAAAAACGTTGCATCAAATGTGGCCTTGTTACCTGTGATATTAACTCATGTGATAAAAAATGCATTCTATGCGGCAGCTTAGAGCATGTTTCTACTGACAAGCTCACCTGCTCGGCATGGGAAAGAGAACGTTCAATCAACCACATAAGAACAGTTAAAAAACTGTCCAGGCGTGAAACAATAAAAACCTATTTCTCCGAGAGCCAAAACCGGTTTGACTTACTCGCTACTGAGGACTTAGATTTCCCGAAGATTTCTGAAAAGGAAGAGAATCTTAAAAATAGGGATTCGAATGTTAACAAAAAACTTACACGAGCAAAATACAGTACAATTGTACGAAAAACAATGCAAACTATCAAGGCACCAGCAGAACAAGCAGCCAGTAGGGAAAACAGGGTTAGAGCACCCAGAGAGTCTGTTCTTAATAAACCAGAATACCTTAAAGGGAAAGTTACTGAAATGGAAAAGCTTATCACTGAATTATTCAAAATCATTCAGAAGGCCTGTGCTGGTGAGCACTTTGGCGATGTTCTAGGGGAGGTACAAAACGTTAAGCAAAAATTTGATGAGGTTATGATCCAGGAAGATTTACATGCGATAAACAGGGGAACTAATCCCCTGGCCCATGCATAAAGTAATGAAGATATTGCAATACAACTGCCAGTCCTTAAAATCCAATATAAACACCATAGAGTACTATTTAAACCATTACGATTACGATCTTGTATGTCTAAGCGAAATTTTCACTTGTAACGAACCACAACATAGGAATATTATAAATTATAATATAATAGAGAAAAATAGAGTTGATGGCTATGGCGGCGTCGCCATAGCTCTGAAAAAACAAATTAAATTTCACAAAATTAACTACATAACTGATGCTGATGTCTTAATTATTAAAACTAAAAATCTAAAGCCAAATCTTGTAATTTGTGCGGTTTACTTCCCCCCAAGCGTACTCACTAATGACTTCAAAAACGAAATAACCAGGCTCCTTTCATTTTTAGAACACCAAGAAAATGTCCTACTACTCGGCGACTTTAATGCCAGGGCGAGAGTGTGGGGTGACCAAACTCAATCCTGTAGAGGCAACAATCTGCACAGAATAACATCTGAATACAATTTTTGGCACTTGAATGATGGCTCAATTACTTTTAAAAATGATACCTTGTCTCCCAATGGGTCAGTGCTTGACCTGTCATTCACAAATAGCTCGATCCCTTTTGAGTGGAAGACTGACCCCACTCGGTTGGGTGGAAGTCATCATTTCCCTATCTCTATAGAAACCACTATGGTCACCCACGAAGGACATAGGTTCCTGGCTAAAAAAAAACTACTTGATAGTTTACAGAAAACCATTCTTGAACCAAATTTCTACGACATACACTCGCAACTTCAAACTGAAATTGAAGCAGCCACATACACTCTCAGCCCAAATAGAAGTCCAAAAGCCTGGTGGACTGACGAGCTTGACAAAGCCTTCCGCTTTCTCAAAGCAGCATACAAAAAATGCAAATTATCACCCTCACCGCAAAACTTTCTGGATTTAACTGAAATCAAGAAAAAGTGGAAAAACCAAGTAAAAGAAGCAAAAAAGAAAAATTTTGAAAATAAAATAAGTGAACTAAATGAGGCCCCCACTACAAAGAATGCTTGGAAATTTGTAAAAGCTCTAAGGGGCGATTACAAAGGTTCCAATAACTCACCTTGGTCAAGTGACAACAACAAAGACTTTCTAAATTTATTAAAAAA